TTGTATGATTCCGGTGCTGGGGCTGTTGGTGGGATTAGCTGCCCGTTTGTCTGCAGGCCACTCTCTCCTCCTCAGTGTTCTCCACCACACAGCAGCTGCTGCCCAGGAAGCCTGGGGACCCGACTCCCCTGGAGCGGATGGCAGTGGCAGGGGGTGGGCTATAAAAAACAGTTTTGTCTGGGAACAATAGGCATCAATCAAGGCAGCGTCTTCAGCCTTTGATTTGGATGGGAGGGGGGAAGGCAGAACCCAGCTTCCTCTGGCCATCTCCCTTTTCAAGCGGATTAACGGGCCAGTCAGTCGGAAAGGAGCCTGCCTGCACAGAGGTCTTCCTCAGGCCTGTCTTGGATGAAGCCACTCACGTCCGTATCTGAAATAGCCAGAAACCAATGGACTCCACGTTACATGCCAGCTTTCCTGTAGGCCTGCAAGGCCCTGATCGGGCTAATTTTTCAAAGGCAGTAGAGAGTCTAATTCAAAGGCACAAAGTAAGCCCAGCAGATGTTCCTAATGGAACGGGCAGAAGGAAGGCCCAAGGAAAGCAGGAGGTCACAGAAATGGAGCAGAGACTTGGGTCGTGTCCGAGTCAAAGTTCAATCTAAATATTTCTGACAAGGAGCTGATTGCAGAAGAGCGGGTATTTCTGGGTACAAACTTCTTAAAATATATTTGACAATCTCAATTCAGGCTGATCTCTGGTATGAGCTGGGCTGTGGTTGGAGGATTAGTTCAAGGCTGGTCTGGACAGTTCACTGAGACCCTGTCTATAAAAACTAAAGAACTAGGTTCTAGCTCATGGATAGAAAGAGCGTTAGGTAGGATTGCCCTAGGTCCCATGACCAGAACTGCAAAATAATAAAAAATAATAATAAAAAGAAGAAGGAATTGAAAAATGAAGAAAAGGCCAGATGTGGTGGTGTACACCTTTCATCCCAGCACTCAGCAGGGGTCATGGGCAACTTGTTTGTGCTTATACCCTGAGGAAAATGGCCTCCCCTCCTGAAGCAGGCGTTAAGGGGCAGCAGCTCCTGAGCTAGGGAACACTAGCTTGTTGTTGTTGTTTGCAGCTTTTGGTTTGAGGTGCTGTGTAGTTCAGACTGGCCTCCGACTCACAATCCTCCTTCCTCAGCCTCTCAAACACTGGGGTTACAGGCACAAGCCACAGCATTCTGCCCCACCCGACAACATAATTTTATGATTTTTTTTTTTTGCGGGGGGGGGGGGGGGCGGGAGAATATAGCTAGAGTTTTCCTGCCTGGCCCACAGTCAGGACAAATCTCTGTCACCCGCCAGTCCCACAGCCGCTCAGACCCAACCAAGTAAACACAGAGACTTACATTGCTTACAAACTGTATGGCCATGGCAGGCTTCTTGCTAACTGTTCTTATATCTTAAATTAATCCATTTCTATAAATCTATACCTTGCCACGTGGCTTGTGGCTTACCGGCATCTTCACATGCTACTTGTCATGGCGGTGGCTGGCAGTGTCTCTTCCCACCTTCCTGTTCTCTCAATTCTCCTCTCTGTTAGTCCTGCCTATACTTCCTGCCTGGCCACTGGCCAATCAGTGTTTTATTTATTGACCAATCAGAGCATTTGGCATACAGACCATCCCACAGCAGGGGAGGGCATTTCAAGACAGGGTTTCTCTGTGTAGACCTAGCTGTCCTGGAACTGTGGCCTTGAACTCACAGAGATCCACCTGCCTCTGCCCCCTGAGTGCTGGGATTAAAGGCGAGTGCCCCCACTGCCCGGCTGATTTTTTATTTTTTAAAAAACATTTCCTTATTTACCGTGTGTTTTGGAGGCGGAGGAGGATACACAAGAACACAGGCTGTAGGAGTTGGTTCTCTCCTTCCACTGTGTGGGTCTCAGGGATCAAAGTTAGGCCATCAGAGTTGGTGGCAAACACTCCTACCCTGACCACCTTGTGGGCACAAAGTACCATGGGAATAGAGTAGGAGCCGGAGTGTCACGCTGCAACCCCAGCGTTCAAAAGACGAGACAGGAGGTCAGCACAAGTTTCCCCAGGCCGAGCTATGCATTAAGACTCTGTTAAAAAAATAGGTAAGGGGTGGAGGGTTGTCGGGGAGGGAAGCATTGCCCAGTGGATAAAGGTGCTTGTCACACAAGCCTGGTGACCTAATCCCCAGAACCAGAATCCACAGTTGCCCTCTGACCTCCACATGCACACTATACAATCTCAAAATAAATGAAAACATTAAAAAATAATAATAATGCCGGGAGGTGGTGGTGCACGCCTTTAATCCCAGCACTCAGGAGGCAGAGGCAGGCAGATCTCTGTGAGTTTGAGGCCAGCCTGGTCTACAGAGCGAGTTCCAGGACAGCCAGGACTGCACAGAGAAACCCTGTCTCGAAAAACAAAACAAAACAAAATAATAATAATGATAAGTGAAAAGCAGGTTGGAGGTTGGGCATTTAGCTCCATGGTAGATGCTTGCCTGTGGTACATGAGACCCTGAGTTCAATCCCTAATCCTGTCAAAGAATAAAAAAAATCTTGGGGGCTGATCAGATAACTTATCTGATAAAGGTTTTTGCCATTAAGCTTGATCCTTAGGATCCACATTGTGGAAGGAGAGAACTGAGTCCCAAAAGTTGTCCTCTGACCTCCACACAACACATCAATGCGCACGCGCACACACACACACACACACACACACACACACACACACACACACACACATACATCCACAGACACACACACACACACACACAAAATATATGAAATGAAATGTAATTTTTTAAAATGTTACCCAGTGATTGCAGGGCACACCTTTAATCCCAGCACTCAGGAAGCAAAGGCAGGCGGATCTCTCTGAGTTTGAGGCCAGCCTGGTCTACAGAGCGAGTTCCAGGACAGCCAGGGATACCCAGAGAAATTCTGTCTCCAAAAAAAAAAAAAAAAAAAGTAATAAATAAAATAACAATAATTAAAAAAAAAAAAAAAAACCAACTCTGGAGCATACCTGTAATACCAGCATCGGAAGCCTGAGGCAAAAGGATCGGAGGCTAGCCTGGGCTGCATAGTAAGACCCAGTCTCAAAAACAAAGAAACTTCTTGACAGACGATTAAGATCTAAGACCTGTTTGGATAGGGACTGGCTAGATAGCCTCATCGCGCTTTACAAAAGCACTTGCCGGACAAACCTGAAGACTTCAGTTCGAATCCTGGAACCCATGTAAAAAACGGCAGGAGAGAAGAGACTCCACACCTCGGTCCTCTGGTACGCACACCCGACCCACACAGTAATAAATACGTAAGAATAAACTTTAAAAACTATTTCCCCAGTGATAACTGAGTATGAGGACCATACGGTATTCTTGATGATGTTTGGTGATAACTGAAAAGTGTTAGGGTAAAAATAAGACCACACAAGAACATCACTATTCTTACATAGAATGCAGTTTTAAGAGGGCTTGACCTCCATCATCACTCTGGGAGGCAAACCCCACATCTGCTGGGCCATCCTGCTGGTCATCCTTGTATTTATTTTTTGAGACAGAATTTCAGTAAATTGCCCAGGCTGGCCTTAACTTACTTAAAATTCTTTTTGCTTTTATTCTTTCAATTTTTAAATTATTTATTTTATTTTATTAGTGGGTGTTTTGCCTGCATGTATGTGTGTGTACCATGTGCGTGCCTGGTGCCCACGGTAGTCAGAAAAAGGGCATCAGATCCCCTGGAACTGGAGTTACTGATGGTTGTAAACTACCATGTGGGTGCTGGGTATAGAACTGGGGTCCTCTGCAAGAGCAGCAAGTGTTCTTAACCCCTGAGCCACTTCTCCAGTCCCTGTTTTGTCTTTTTTTTTTTTTTTTTTTTTTTTGGTTTTTCGAGACAGGGTTTCTCTGTGTAGCTTTGCGCCTTTCCTGGGACTCACTTGGTAGCCCAGGCTGGCCTCGAATTCACAGAGATCCACCTGGCTCTGCCTCCCGAGTGCTGGGATTAAAGGCATGCTCCACCACTGCCCGGCCTGTTTTGTCTTTTGAGACAGGTTCTCAAGTGGCCCAGACTGGCCTTGAACTTGCTGTATACTGAGAATGACCTTTAACCCCCAACCCCCTTATATCTACCTCACAGATCCTGGGATTATAGACACGCACTACCATGTCCTGTATTCCATGGTGCTGGGACTGGAGCCCAGTTCTTCATGCATGCCAGGCCACTCCACCAACCAAACCGCATCTGCAGCCCTGACCTTGATATTTCTGCCTCAGCCTCCCAAGTAGCTAGCCTTACAGGTCTGCTCTACCATGGCCAGCTTGCGGGGGAGGCACATGGGTGCCATGGCACAGGCATGGGGGTCAGAGGACAACTTTGTGGAGTCTTCTAACTGTACATGAGTTCAGGGGCTAGAACTTTCGTGGGTAGGCTTACACAGCAGGGTCTTCAGCCACAGGGCCAGGTCCGCAGCCTGGTTTTGTTCTTAAGACAGTCTCACTGTGTAGCCCAGATAGACCTCAAACTTAGGTCCTACTGGAGAACTCCAGCGTTCTGTCTTCATATGGTTTATGTTGTTGTCTTTTCCCCTACAGATATGTGTGTGTGTGTGTGTGTGTGTGTGTGTGTGTGCTGGAGAGAAGACACAGCAGCTGAAGAGCACTTGCTGCTCTCTCAGAGCATCCAGATTCCCTCCTAGCATCCACGTGGTGGTTCACAACTGAAGCTCCAGTTTTAAGGGATCTGATGCCTCTGCTGGCCTTCACGGGCGCTGCACTAACGTGGCATGCAACTATACATTCACACTAAGAACAAATGGTAGGAAAGTATTTTAAGAATATTTTAGGGCTGGAGAGATGACTTAGTGTCAAAGAATGCATATGCTCTTGCAGAAGACCCTAGCTGAGCTCCCAATACTCATGTCAGGTGACTTACAACGCCCTGTAACCCCAGGGCCACAGGCTCCAATGCCTCTGACCTTCTCAGGGTCCTGCACTCACATGCAGACATATACCCATACAAAGACACATAGATGTTTCTTTAATGTAAAGAAAAAATAGTTTATTACACATGTAGTGACTCAACCCATTAGGAAGGAGGCATCTTGTAAAAAGTGGATGCACAGCTTTTCCCAGTAACACAGCCGCTGCTTGTCCTGCAGAGTGTGCTAAGGCTCTTCCTCTGGCACTGGAAAATGTCTAAGTTTAGGTTTGTTGGGGTTATTTTTCAACAACCAATCAGCTAGCCAGATCTATGGAAAAGATAAAAACTAAAGTTAATAAACATTTAACTAGTTCCTTTCTATGTATAATGAACCTATCAACTAGAAAATGAAGTATCTTTTTAAAAAAGAATTTTAAGACAGGATCTCACAGCCTAGGCTGTCTGGAACGTACTCTGTAGCCCAGGCTGGCCTTGAGCTTCTAGAGATCCAGCTGCCTCTGCCTCCTGAGTGCTGAGATTAAAGGTGTGCGCCACCAAATCCAGCTAGACAGCTTATTTGTTGGTTTGTTTTTGTTTTGAGACAGGGTTTCTCTGTGTAGCCCTGACTGTCTTGGAACTCACTCTGTAGCCCAGGCTGGCCTCAGATTCAGAGATCCACCTGGCTCTGCCTCCTGAGTGCTGGGATTAAAGGCGTGTGCCACCACCGCCTGGCCCCAGTTTAGAGAGATCTTTATAATCTTGGAGGTTGACAAGTGACCACACAGAGAGAGACGATATCCTCCAGTGGCCATTGTGTCGTTAGGGCTTAGTGGAGGCTGAGGTACAGACCAGACTGCTGGTCTAACTTAAGGGGGTGTAGAATGTGACCCCGGGGTAGTTAAACTAAGGCAGGAGGAGACTGGGGCAAAGCCAAGAGAGCAGGCTGTTACCTCCTTAGAACCGAGAGACTGTAACAATCGTAACCAAAAACTCAAGCTTTCACGTTTGTGGCCAACCTGGACAATGCTAATAAGAAACATATGAGCCGGGCGGTGGTGGTGCACGCCTTTAATCCCAGCACTCGGGAGGCAGAGGCAGGCGGATCTCTGTGAGTTTGAGGCCAGCCTGGTCTACAGAGCAAGATCCAGGAAAAGGCTCAAAGCTACACAGAGAAACCCTGTCTCAAAAAACCAAAAAAAAAAAAAAAAAAAAAAAAGAAAAAAAAAAAAAAGAAAGAAAGAAACATATGAAATGAAATTTTTTGCAACATAGTGAAATCATTCTTCTATACTGTTAGCTTTTCATTGCAAAATGGTTCAGAGTATGAGTTTGGACTGGGTTGTGTCACATGCCTTTAATCTCAGCACTTGGGAGGCAGAAAAGGTGAATCTTTTTGAGTGTGAGGCTATCCTGGTCTACTGGTCTACATGGCCTGGCTGCTAAACAGCTTTTAAAATCACTTAAAGAATAAAAATAAAGGCTGAGTGTGGTGTGAGTTCGAGGCCAGCCTGGTCTGCAAACTGAGTTCCAGAATAGCCAGTAGCCAGGACTACATAGAGAAACCCTGACTCAAAAAAAAAAAAAAAAAAAAAAAGTCTTTTACACACACACACACACAAATAATAAATAAGTGTAATTAACATTTTTTAAGAGCCAGGCGGTGTGGTGCACGCCTTTAATCGTGACACTCAGGAGGCAGAGGAAGGCAGATAATTATGAGTTCGAGGCCAGCCTGGTCTACAGAGCTAGTTCCAGGATAGCCAGAGCTACACAGAGAAACCCTGTCTTGGAAAAACAAAATAAAACAAAAACATTTAAGATCTGGGGATTGGTTCATTTGATAGAATGCTTGCCTATTAAATACAAAGCCTTGGGTTTGATTCCCAGCATCTGTCACACTGGGGAAAAGTGGCCCACATCTGTAATCCCAGCACTTGGGCGGTGGAAACGGGAAGATCCAGAGTTTAAAGTCATCCTTGGCTACATAGCTAGTCTGAGACCAGCTCAGGCTGCAGGGAATCCTCTCCCACAAACAAAAGAAAATAATGGTAATAATTATAATAATAAATGGAGGGCCAGAGAAATGGCTTGGCAGGTAAAGGTACTTGCCACCAAGCCTGAAGACCTTAGTAAGGTCCTGAGGACTCCCATCGTGGAAGGAGAAGGGCCTCTCTGGTCTCCATATGTGTGCTGTAGCACACACATTAAGAAAATAATAAATAAATAAACGCAAGTGTCGTGACATTTCAATGGACGGCGAGAGGCTGGGGGGGGGGGCTGACCCCTCCCTAGGGAGTCCTAGGAAGTCAATGGCTCCTGGAGGGGCAGTGACATTTGCCTCAGCAATGCAACCACCTGTGAGGTGCCCTGGCTCGTACCCTCACCAGCGGCTCCTGTGAATGACCCCAGTGAAACTTAGTCAAAAGAAACAGGAAGGGGGCTGGAGAGATGGCTCAGCGGTTAAGAGCACTGACTGCTCTTCCAGAGGACCTGAGTTCAATTCCCAGCACCTACATGGTGGCTCACAACCATCTGTAATGAGATCTGGCACCCTCTTCTGTATACATAATAAATAAATCTTTTTTTAAAAAAAAAAGAAACAGGAAGACGCGGAAGCAGGAGGAGGGACTAGCTGGGAAGAGGAAGGGTGTTAGCAGGAGTGGGGCGGGGATAATGGCAGGTAAACGGGGTGTGCACACACGTGTGACCAAAATACATCATCTCCTAGTAAGTTAGAGGGCTAGACAGAGGGACCTTGGCTGAAACACCACAACATTCAAGGCCAGCCTGGTCTACATAGCAAGTTCTAGGACAGCCTGGGCTCCATAGTGAGACCCTGCCTCCCCCCAAACAAACAAACAAAACTGTCCAACAAAACAACAGTAAGCAAGAAAAATCACCCAGTACCATGTACGTGTATGAAAATGTCGTAATGGAACTTATTATGTAAAATTACTATATGCTAATAAAAACCTTAATAAAAAGAATAAGAAAATGGAATCCCAGGATGGAATGAGGCTTGCATAGTAAGTGCTTTACCGATCTCTCTCCAACCCACCTAGCTCCCCCCTCCCACACACACACCTTTGTTGTTTTGTTCTGTTTTTTTGAGACAGGGCCTCACTGTATAGCCTTGGGGGGCCTGGAATCTAATATGCAGACCAGACCAGCCTTGAATTCACACAGATCTGCCTGCTTCTACTTCCAAGTACTGGGATTAAAGGCATGGGCCACCATGACCAGACCACCTTTTGAAATTTTTTTTTTTTTTTTTTTGTTTTTCGAGACAGGGTTTCTCTGTGTAGCTTTGCGCCTTTCCTGGAACTCACTTGGTAGCCCAGGCTGGCCTCGAACTCACAGAGATCCACCTGGCTCTGCCTCCTGAGTGCTGGGATTAAAGGCGTGCGCCACCACCGCCCGGCTTGAAATTTTTTATTTTGAGACAGACTCTCACTAAATTGTCCTGCTTGGTGGCCACGGAGTCAAGACATAGACCAAGAAAGCCTCAGAACTTGTGGGTCTTCAGACTAAAAGAATAAATATCAGCCAGACATGGTGGTGCCATCTTTGATCCCAGCACTCAGGAGGCAGAGGCGAGTAGATCTTTGTGAGTTTGAGGCCAGCCTGGTTTAGGGCAGCCAGGGCTAAGTAGTGAGATGCTGTCTCAAAAACAAACAAACAGTTCTAAATAGGAAAATGATAAACAATATTCTCTAGTGTGAATAAAAAAGTATCGTACATAAGGGTCTGCCGGTTTCTGCTTACAAAGCTCCGTGAGTCCTTGGAGTAGGGTTGGCGTTACGTACAGATTTAAATAGTCCTTAGCAGCTTGTCCAATTGGAATGGGTTCAATAATCACTGCAAATACAAAGAAGTTCTCACTAAAAAGCAAATAGAAGTGCTTAAACATTATACAGCTATCAAAGAGGATGCTTTCAAAAGTTTTCAACTGTTGAGACACTCATCATTGTGAGTTTTAAATTTGATTTCTGCTGTGGGATGTTCTGTATGACAAATGTGTTGCTGATTAGTCAATAAATAAAACACTGATTGGCCATTGGCTAGGCAGGAAATGTAGGCGGGACAAGGAGGAGAATAAAGCTGGGAAGTGGAAGGCTGAGTGAGAGAGACACTGCCAGCCCCCAGGATGAGAAACAGCATGTGAAGATGCCGGTAAGCCACGAGCCATGTGGCAAGGTATAGATTAATAGAAATGGATTAATTTAAGCTGTAAGAACAGTTAGCAAGAAGCCTGCCACGGCCATACAGTTTGTAACCAATATACGTCTCTGTGTTTACTTGGTCAGGTCTGAGAGGCTGTGGGACTGGCGGGTGAGAGAGATTTGTCCTGACTGTGGGCCAGGCAGGAAAACTCAAGCAACAGATTTCTATTTCTTTACATTTATTAAAATGTTATAATTGTTATTATTGTTGGCTTTCTGACAGAGTCTCACCATAGTCCAGGCTGGCCTGGGACTCATTAAGTAGCCTAGGCTAGCATCAAACCCAGGGTGATCTTCCTGCTCGGCCACCTGAGTCCTGTGATAACAGGTGTGAGTCACCACACTCTGTTTACTAAGGTATTATTTACACATAGTATTAGCTAAATTTGTGATCCCACAGAGAAATAAATAGAATTTAAATAAAAAAACAACAAAATAACAATAACAACCACACACAAAAGAACTAAAGCAAAACCAATCCAAGCCCGGTGGCCACTCAGGAGGCCGGCACAGATGGACTTGTCTCAAAAGACAAAGGACTGGAAAGTCAGGCTGCAGTACATGCCTGAAACCCCAGCACTCAGAAGCTGGAGGCAGGAAGATCAGGAGGAGGTCAAGGCCAGCCTGAGACACACGGGCTTGTCTCAAAATAAATACGGGGCTGGAGAAATAGCTCAGTGGTTAAGGTCAGTTTTTCTTCCCAAATACATATCTCAGCACCCACATCAGGCAGTTCACAGCTGTCATAAACTCTAACTCCAGGGGATCCAATGCCTTCTTCTGGCCTCTGAGGACATCTGCACACATGTGCCATACACTCACACAGACATAAACAAAAATAAAATAAATATTAACAATAAATAGGTAAATAAAAGGCTGAGGACTTAGCAGCTCACTGGCAAAGATTTGCCTGTCGTGAAGTCCTAGGCTCACCCCCAGTACTTAAAAGATAGTATACCCACTTCTCCACTAATTCTGCTTTTTTCTTTCCTTTTTTTCTTTTTCTTTTCTTTTCCTTTTTTTTTTTTTTTTTTTTTTTTTTTTTTTTTTTTGAGACAGGGTTTCTCTGTGTAGCCCTAACTAGAACTCGCTCTGTAGACCAGGCTGGCCTCAGACTCAGAGATCTGCCTGCCTCTGCCTCCCAAGTGCTAGGATTAAAGGTGTGCGCCACCACCGCCCGACCAGTATTTCCATTTCTTAAAGGGTTACCAGCTTCGAAACTTCAAACTGGATGGAAATCAAAAAGGATCTGCAATTACCAAATTCACAGTGACTTAAGGCTTTTTTGTTTTGTTTTGTTTGGAAAAAGACACATTTACCAAGTCCACAACAAAGGAGCAGTGTTCAAGGCCAGCGACCAACCCAGTACTGCTGCAATATAATCTGTGAACTTGTTACATCTGTTATCCTCTGTGCCTGAAACACTTCTGAAGTGTCATGGACCATTAGGAAGAAGGATAACACAATAGGAGAGCAATCCTAAATACATCCGTTCAGGAGAAAGAACTCTGCAGAAACCCCAGGGCACAGCATACTTCTGTAGGTGCTGTTCACTTTTCAGCTTTTGGGTTCAAGATTCATTTTGTTTCTGTTTTTAAAATATTTGTTTCATGTGTGTGAATGTTTTGCCTGCATGTATGTATGAATGTGCACCAGGTGCATGCCTGGTGCCCAAGAAGGTCAGAGGAGGGTGTTGGATCCCCTGGAACTGGAGTTATGAGCTGCCATGTGGGCGCTGGGGACTGAACTCTGGTCCTTAGCAAGAGCATCGAGTGCTCTTAACTGCTGAGTTAGCTCGCAACCCTTGTCTCTCTGCTTTTGTATCACTGAGACAGGTCTATGAAGCCCAGGCTGGCCTGGAACTCACATCGATCCACCTGCCTCTGCCTCCCAGGTGCTGAGAGTTTGTTTCTTGTTTTGCTTTTGTGCTTTGTTTGTTTGTTTTGAGACAAGGTCCGGGGTAGCCTACAGACAAGGTCCGGGGTAGCCTACACCGGCTTCCAACAGGGCTAAGACACTGAACATCTGATCCCTCTGCCCTCCCCTCTCCAGGGCTAAAATTAGGATCATGGGCCTGTGGCCTCTGCCTGCTTTTGTCTAGCGCTGGGATTCAAACCCAGGACTTTCCAGGAGCTCAGCAAGTACCCTACAAACTGAGCTACATCCCAGGCCCCTCCAGCTTCACGTTCAGATGACTCACAACCTGAAAATATAACAAAGCATATTTGGAGGAAAATTCCTTCTTCTCAGACACGTCTTCAAGATAAAAACAAATTTTAAGAAGTGAACAGTTTGGAGGTGGAGTCAAGAAAGCAGGCGTGAGAAACTCACCTTCTGGAAACATGAAGCGAATCTCTCTTTCTGAGGCAGCGAAGTCCTTGCTCCCATGAAGGGCGTTCCGTAGCTCATCTGTACCGTAAATTGCCCTTAGACTAAAGCAGATTATGGATGTTGCCCTTTCAACTCTGACACCCTGCCTTACTTTACAGGGGAGTGTTCCCTCTTCATTATTTGGAGGGGGGCTGGGAATCACATGTGGAAGTCAGAAGACTACTTCAGGAGTGGTTTTCTCCTTCCAGCTCATGGGTCCTGAGTTCGAATCCAGATCATCCCATTTGGCAGCAAGTACTTTACCCAATGAGTCATCTTGCCAGGCTTTTTCTATTTGTTTGTTTGTTTTTAGACAGGGCATCACTAATCTAATTTTAAGCTTTTCATCTACTTAGATGACAGTCAAATAAATTTATGTATGCTGGTGGAATACACTGTGAAAACAGGCATTCTCTAGGTGAAGAAAGGTGTTTTGTGAGAAGTGAAAGGAAATACCAATTCAATAATGAGATAGCTGTTTCATTTCTAGAAACTAGAGATCATGTTGAAAATTTGGATTTTTTTTTTTTGAGATAGTTTCTCACTATGTATCCTGGGCTGACCTGGAACTTGCTATCCAGACCAGGTTAGCCTTAAACTCTCAGAAATTTGCCTGCCTTTGTCTCTCAAGCACTGAGATTAAAGGTATGTACCGTGTCCAGAAAAGAAATCTAAAAATTCTAGTTTTCCCCTTACAATCCCACTTCAGGACCAGTGAGAGGATCCAGCTGCTGAAGGCACCAGCTGCTGAAGGCACCAGCTGCTGAGGGCACCAGCTGCTGAAGGCACTTGCCGCCAAGCCCGAGTGTGGCCCCGGGATCCGCATGGTTGAAGGAGAGAACTGACCCACTAGCCATCCCTGACCTCCACATGTTCAAGTAGACACACCCACAGAATAAGTGAATAAAATGTAGTGTCAACAATCCTGCTCCATAGCCATGTGTCCTGGCTCATCCCTGTAACCCCTGCATGGGGAAGGGGGAGTGAGACAGGAGGATTGTCACAAATTCAAAGCTAGCCTGGGCAAACAGTGAATTACGGCCAACTTAGGCTACAGAGTAAGACCTAGTCTCAAAAAATAATCAAAACAAAATAAAACAACAACAAAAACCAAGCTGGGTGGTGTGACACACGCCTTTGACCCCAGCACTCGGGAGGCAGAGGTAGGTGGATCTCTAATTTTGAGGCTAGCCTGGTCTACAGTGGGAGTTCCAAGACAACCAGGGCTACACAGTAAAACCCTGTCCCAGAAAAAAACAATCAATCAATAAATCCTACGGTACAGGCAGTTTAATGCAAGGCTAATCAGCCATCAATAAGATATTCTCTGATGCTTTCTGTATATATCATTTGGTATTAAGATAGCATTGAAACGTGAGAATGTCAAATTCACTGCCTTACATCAGAGAAAAGTTCATTTAGGAGATCTTCCATGGGGTGGAAAACACCCATCGAAAAGATGCAGGTTTGGAGTGTTTTGTTTCTTTGGTTTTCATACTTTAAGAGGGCATCAGCTGGGCGGTGGTGGCACATACCTTCAATCCCAGCATTCAGGAGGCAGAGCCAGGATCTCTGTGAGTTCGAAGCAAGCCTGGTCTACAGAGCGAGATCCAGGACAGTCAGGTCTACACAGAGAAACCCTGTCTCAAAAAAACAAAAAAAAGAAAAAAAAAAAGAAAGAAGAAAAAGAAAAAAAGAGGACTTCAATCCTTAAAGCCCCAGGGAAATTACCTGTCCGGGTGTGTCTCCTTAGCTAGTAAACTATTTGATGGTCCCATAAGTTCTTTCCAGTAAGAGATGGCGTTATATCTAGCTAATATCATAGCAACAAGAGGCCCAGAACTCATATAAGCTGTTAAGTTTGGGAAGAACATTTTCCCATACTGTTCCACATAAAAGTTGCTACAGTGCTCAGGGCTCAGATGTAGTTTTCGTCTCTGTAAACAAAACAAAGTCAACAAAAGCATTTAAAGTGACAGCTCAATAAAGCCATTAATAAAGCTCATTAAGTCATTAGTAACTGGTCAGGCATGGTGGCTGATGCCTGTAATTATCTTTGTATTAGTATACAGAAATGATATTTAAATTAAATATGTGCAGAGGAAGTATTTATCCCACTTAAAAAAAAAAGATCCCTAGGCCGATGGGCTGGTGAGACCGCTTCACGGGAAAGGTGCTTGCTGACAAGGCTGAGGTTCTAAGTTCAATCCCCAGAATTTACATGTTGGGAAGAGAGAACTGATACCCTAAGTTTTCAGACTGAAACACGTACACTGAGCATACACACACACACACACACACACACACACACACACACACACACACACACACAAATATACAAACATTTTTTAAAAGAGTGTTTGCTGAGCAGTCATGAGGACCAGAGGTTTGGATCCTGGCACCTGCATTACAGGCAGGGTATCCACCAAACGCCTGTAACTCCACCTACGAGGGATTCGAGGCCCTCTTCTGGCATCCATGCGCGGGTATAATAGGCACACGTACACACAGTCACCCAGAGATCAGGCAAGCTTGGTCTGCATAGTGAGGTCGGCTAGGGCTGCAGAGTAAGTCACTGTCTCTAAAACAAACAACAACAACAACAAAATGGACACATTAGTTTAGCTCCAGGCATGGTATGAGAGGGTGTAGAGAATCCTCAGACCATATAAAGGACTATTCTGATAAACTCTACAGCCAGCTCCCAAGAAGTCTAGCCCTCCATGACTCCGCTCCCTCCACCACGCCCAGTGCACAAGCTGTTTGTTTTGAGACGGGGGTCTTAAGACGTAACCCAGGCTGGCCTCACGCCCCGTAGCCCCGTCTGTCTGTCTGTCTGGCAGGGTACTTGCTGCCTTAGTCTCCCCAGACACAGGCATGCCCAGCAGCCATGGGCCCCTTCTACAGGTTCGCTAGCTCCTGCAGCATAATTTAAAAAATTTAGAGTTCATCTTTAAAGTCGAAACAAAAATTAATGGTTTTATTGGTTGCTTCGAAACGAAATCTGGTGAAAAACGGTTTGCAATTAGTTTTATGAAGCAGTGACAGCGAATGTGTGGGCCACAGCTGAGTGTGGGACGAGGAAAATGCTGCCACCTGCTGGAAGGAGAGAGGTTTTCAGAGCCTATTTCACAAACACCCTCCAATGTCAAAGGAGTCAAACGCCTCGGGGCAGAAAGTAGGCTAGTGGAGGGGCTGGTGAAGACAGAAACACACCTCACCCACTTTTTAAAAAGACTTCACAGCTTCAGGTTGAAAAACTACGGATGAATAGTGGCGAGGGTCACAAAACAAGGCGAATTATTTAACACCACTGCGCTGTGCCTTAAAAAGAGTTTAAATGGTACAATTGATGTAACATATACCCCGCCAAATAAGCAAAAGAAAAACAAATCCGTCGCTGTGGCTGACCCAGTAGCAGAGGCAGCGGCTGCATACACAGACCGCCGCTGTCCCTGGTCTACCGTTCACTGCTGGCCTGAGAGTCTACTCATTTGTTTGTTCGGTTTGAGACAGGGTCTCTCTGTGTAGCCCTGGGACGGTCTGGAACTCACAGAGACCCACTTCCCTTTGCCTTCTGAGTGCTTGGATTAAAGGTGTGTACCACCATGTCCAGCCCATGAATTTTAGTTTATCATCAATACGAGCCGCTTAGTTACTAAGTCTGTCTTTACTTTTTCAAACGTGGACTTAAGTTTTGGGGAGCTAGCTCGGTGAGTAAATGATGACCGCTCAATGTAAGGACCTGGATTCGGATGCCCAGAGTTTTCCTAATGCCCAACACTGTCGTGGGAGTTTGTCATGCCTGCGCACCTGTGGAGAGAGGGCAGCTGGAGAGAGGAGGGACCTCAGAAGTTCGCGCCCAGTTAGCGTCAAGAATGTAGACGCAAACAGGAAAGCCTGTTTCAGACAGCAGACGAGGTGAGGACCCGGGCCTGAGGAGCGTGTAAGCACACACCACACAAAGAGAAAGACTTTTTTTAAAGGGACTTAAAACATTTTGGGGGTGGGGTTCCAAGACGAGGTTTCTCTGTGTAGCCCCAGCTGTCCTGGAACTCACAGAGATCCGACTACCTCTGCCTCCTCCTCCCCCAATGCTGGGATTAAAGGCGTGGACCACCACTGCCTGGCATACTTGATACATCTTAAGTATGTAGAGTACAGAAGCCAGAGCAGCTCCCTACCACTGTGAGAGTTTGATTCCCACCAAAAAAAAAAAAAAAAAGAAAATATTTCTCTCTGTGAGTTCAAGGCCAGCCTGGTCTACAGAGTAAGATCCAGGACAGTCACCAAAACTACACAGAGAAACCCCGTCTCAAACACATACACACACACACACACACACACACACACACACGCACACACACACACACACACACACACACACGAGTTTGATCCCAGTAAGAGATACCTTTCTTTGAAAAAGAAAGAAAACCTACAAAATTTAAAATTAAGCCAGGCATAATGGCACACGGTGTGCAATCCCTGCACTCAGGAGCCCGCAATAGCAGAACTTGAAGCCACATAGTGAGATCCTCTCAGAAAGCAAAACACAAGGTTTGTGGGCACCTTACTCACAGCTCGCATGAAGGAGAGGCAGGGGGATCACTGCATGCTGGAGGACATCCTGAACTAAATAGCGAGAGACTGTCTTTGTTTCTCTCTTTCTCTCTTTGTAGGCAAAGGGTCTCATGTAGCCCAGGCTAGCCTCAAACTCACTATGTAGCTGGGGATGACCTCATCACACTTCTGGTCCTCCTGCCTCAGTCCCCTGAATATGGACACTGAACTCCAGGTTTTGTGCGGTGCTGGTGATGGAAGCCATGGTTCTATATTGGCTAGGCATACATGCCACAGCTGAGCTGCATCCTCAGCCTGAGAACCCGGATTTCTAAGTGCCTTCCCCGCCCCCAATTGCTTGCTTAGTCACTTTTCTTCTTGAAGAAGTCACAAACATGATTTAATATTTTCAGATAGAGGAAAATGGTAGGGATTGAATCCACAGCCTATGCTTGATAAGCCTGTGTTCCACCACTCAGCCACACCCTAGCCCCACCTATAAGTTTAATTTTTAAAGATTTAGGTCCACTTAGAGCTATCCCAGTATAAAATACTGTTTTCTTCACAACATTTATTAAAGACTTTGTGTTCATCTGAATATTTCTTGTACCATCAACTCCCCTCCACCATCTGTGTGTGTGTGTGTGTGTGTGTGTGTGTGTGTGTGTGTGTGTGTGTGTGTGTTATGCATGTCTGTGTTCGTGTGTACACACACACATATGGGGGGGGTGCAGGTGCCATGCGTGTGGAGCCAGAGATCCACATTGGGTGCTAACCTCAGTTGCTCACCACCTTGGATCTCCCACTGAACCTAAAGTTCACCAATCTGCCGAGACTTGTGGACTCACAAGCCCCGGGACTCTCCTGCCCTGCCTCCCCAGCTCGGGATTACCCACAGGTGTCCACCACCATGCCTGACCTTTACGTGACTGCTGGGGATTCAAACTCAGGTCCTTGTGCCTGCTCAGCAAACACTGCCCCAAGCCCCTTTCCAGCTCAATGTTCTTTATTTAAAAACACTGACAAAATAGAAAATAAGATGATAGTCTGATACTATATCATTTTTGCTGTTGTTTTCAAGGTAGGGTCTCATTATGTAGCCCTGGTTGGCCAGGAACTTGCTATGGAGACCAGGCTGGCCTTAAACTCACAGAAATACACCTGCTTCTGCCTCAGCAGTGCCTGGATTAAAAGCGCCACACTCAGCTATATACATTTCAGAGAATAAAAAAGTAGTAGTTCAAATAAAATTCAAAAACATTAAAATATTAAGTTCTCTTTGATACATTTATACATATGTTTTTTGTTGGAGACCTTGTCAAATAGAGGACAGCTGGAACTCTCTGAAGGATGGTGGGGAGCTCAAGATCCTTCAGTCTTACCCTACCTAGGGCTGGGATCACAGGCTTACAAGACTACTTCCAGGGCCTGGGTCCCCTGTGCCCCAGGCTGGCCTAGAACTCCTGTGTAATACGAGCTGACCTGTCAATGTCCTCTGGAAGGCCTGGCTTCCATGACTGACTGTGTTTACCAACTGCAGAACAAATGTTGGTCTTAAAACATTAAATGTTTGCCGGGCGGTGGTGGCGTACACTTTTGATCCCATCACTCAGGAGGCAGAGGCAGGTGGATCTCTGAGTGTGAGTCCAGCCTGGTCTACAGAGGAAGTTCCAGGATAGCCAGGGCTACCCAGAAAGAAGCCCTGTTTAAAAACAAACAAACAAACAAACAAACACCCTACCAACACTAGAGAACCTAACTATGCACCAGAATATTGCACATGACTTAGAAGAATAAGCAGATTCTGATTTCCCCTGGGGAAGGACAACGCAGCAAGTCATTTCCTCTCTCTAGACCTGAGAAGTTAAGAGAAGGAGAGGGCAATCCGGCTTCTTTTGTGTCTTATTCTATATCTTTTGGAAGTGTGAAAAACTTACCTGTTACATGTAACTTGTTTGGTTTTTGAGAGAGGTCTCACAGAGCCGAGGCTGACCTGTCAACTTTGAAGTCATTGCATAGCTGAATTCCTGATCCTCCTGCCTCCGCCTCCCCGGTACTAAGATTACAGGCATGTGCCTACCTGCCCAGCTTACATATAACCTTTATATGTAGAAATGTAAACTTACTGTTACCACGGATCTAATTGGGTGGGAACATTTATATAAGCATAGCACAAACTAAGAGAAGAGACGCCAGGAGTTACCTGAACGATGGTGAATCCAGATCTGAGAATAATGTCGCGGATCTCCTCTTCTTTGTCTACAATATCTGGCTTGATAATGGCTAGGGTTTTTTCTACATATATCTGAGGCAGGGGCATTGACACCTCCATTCTGGCGCTTCCCGGTATAATTTACTAATCTCCTGACCAGGTATCCACTGCAATGACAGCCCCAACCTGTGGCAGTATTTGGTGCTAGGCTTGATTAATTTGTGAAAATGGAAACTGCCATGTTTTCCTACAAGCAGTCTTGCAAGAATACGACTTGTATAGAGCCCAAGTGGAGCCCTGGCCGCTTCACTGAGGCAGGAGGATGGACTGTATCAGTGCCGCTCTCCAGTAGGGGAAGGCCCTAGCCGGCTGCCCTAGCGAAGGGTCCCACTCCTCAGGGACCACTTTTTACAGGCTTGTGACTGCAAGGTAGGCTCCCCAGGTCCTTAGGAAATCTCCAGGCTAGATCCTCCCAGCTCTCACCTCCGTTCTGGTGTTGTCAAACCCCGTTGCTAAGAGACCCGAAGCTAGTTTTCTACGGTGGCTGCAGAGGGCCAATCCCAGCAGAGTTTTTCAGTCTCTGTTTTTATCTAGGGCAGCAATTAGCCAAGCGAGTTTTATTCTTTTTATGAGTCTTAGAGTACTAGACATATTTCTAACATTTTTCTCATAATTTTAAAAACAACTATTAGCTGGTGGTGATGGTGGTGGTGGTGGTGGTGGTGTGTGATGTGATGTGATGTGATGATGTGGAGGTAAGACAACGTCGTGTAGTCAAATCTTTCCGTGTTTGCTGTTTCCAGGGATGGACCTGGCCCTCATGTGGTCGGCTTGCGAGTGATCCTCTTTACCCACTGAGCCTTAGCACCAGCCCTTCTCTAACTGATTTCCTTTCATCCTCATACCTACTTGAAGGATGCTTGAATTATCTGCACTTTATAAATTAAACAAATCAGACGCCCCTCTCAGCATGCTCCATTCCCTCCCAGACGTTATATGAAAGATTAATGTCAGGTTTATTAATTTCCTGACATACCTTCTCTTTCCTTCCTTCCTTCTTTTTTTTGGTGGTGGTGGTGTACTGGGGATCAAGCCCAGGGCCCACGCTAGACAAGCACTTAAGCACTGAGCTACATCCCAGCAAATACCTTCTTTGTTTCACACTTGATGCGGTCCCCTCTAGTTCCAGCTTCTTTAATCATTTAAAAACAGTCTTTGTAAAGTCTGGTGGTCTGGTGGCACATACCTCTAATCCCAGCACGCCATTGGAGGTAGAAGCTGGATGCTATAGAGATTTCCAGGAAAGTCTGGGTTTTAATGGTTTGAGACCCCATCTCAAAAACCAAACAAAATCTTTGGTTTATGAAATATTTATTCATAGAGAAACAAAAGATTCAATTAAATCACTTCTAAGTCTACACAACAAAAATATGGGCAATATTTACATCATAAATCGGGATCTCAGCACCCCACCCCCACCCCTTTAAAAATAATATATCTGCAAGCACCATTGACTCCTCATCAGGGAAGTAGGGCTTCTTATCCTTATTAGGGTAGGTAATGGAGAAGGAGTAAGTCTTCAGATCTTCTCTGGCCAGTCTTCAGGAGAGCTATAAACTTGAGAAAGATTCAGACTTGCAGTTCCAGGCTAACAGAACAGGCTTCCTTCATCCACTGGATTCGCTGGCACTCACTCTAGACTACTCAAGTCCTTCCTTTTGTCTAACCAAGTACTCAGCACCTACAGGAGCAAAGCCAGACACAAACCAAGAACCTTAAAGCCACGTAGGAGAGTGTGCAATTTCATCTATTGTATTGGCAAACAGATAAAACTACACTGGTTAAAGTGTGATGCTTCCCTAAGAGAAATCCTTACATGTCTCCTTGAACTTACTGTTTTCTCCCCAAAGATGGGAACTCTACATGTACATCAGTACCAACAGCTGTAGTAACCAAGACATGGACAGTGGATCCAGCACTGACCTGCTTTTAGCTTTACAACTGGGGCCTCTGAAAGCAGAAGTGCCCATCACTTGCCCATTCCCTGTCATCTTGCTGCTGGCCTTCCCAGATAACCTCATGCCGCTGTGTATCAAATCTGGACCTTCTAAGACATGGAAGACAGGGAGCTTCCCAATCCTGAGGGGACATCAATCCTTAAGATCTTTCAGTCATCTCTAAGACAAGCTCCAAGGACACAAGGTCACCTCCACATCACCTTTAGTCACACAGGCATCATAAACCAAACTCCAGAGACTACATTCCCTGTCCCTGAAGCACTTTCTGGTCCAGTACCTGGATCTGCTCCAAGACTTCACGCTGCATCTCCACAGCCATGTGGTATATGTGATGATCAGAGTCATTGTACATCACAGCGTTCTGGAACATCAGCATCAGATCCCGCTGGAACTCAGCCATGGTGTGAATACGTCCCTTAGACAGGTTCCTTTTCAGGGTTGTTAAGTCCATGGGTCTGCAGGAGCAAGAGGAAATCAAACCTTGATGAACTGAAGGCTGAGGCAGGAAGTTTTCACGAGTTTGAGGACAGCTTGAGCTACACAGTGAGTTCCAAGCCAGCATGAGTAAGACTGTCTCAAAACAGACAGACAGACAGACAGACAGACAGACAAAAAATGTGGTGTCTATGACAAGCTCTTTGAGAACTTGTTCTTGGTGAAAACAGAAGCTGCACTAGTTCATTTTGCTTTTAGTTTTTGTTTTGTCAACTTGGCACAAGCTGGGGTCATCTGGGAAGAGGGAACATCAATTGAGAAAACATCTCTATTAGACTGGCCTGTGGGCATGTCTGGGGCATTTTTTTTTTTTTGGTTTTTCGAGACAGGGTTTCTCTGTGTAGCTTTGCGCCTTTCCTGGAACTCGCTTTGGAGACCTGGCTGGCCTCGAACTCACAGAGATCCGCCTGGCTCTGCCTCCCGAGTGCTGGGGCATTTTTTAAAATTAATGATGGATGTGGGAGGGTCCAGCCCACTGTGGGTTAGTGCCGCTCCTGGGCAGATGGTCCTGAGTGAAGCGTGATCCTAATTAGTCTTAAAAACAAAAACCCGGATTCAGATGTTGAGGGTGAACGCTGAGAGATCAGAGAAGCAGAGCAGCAGCCACCAGAGACTTCTTACCGCTATGAATCCTCAGACGGAATGAGGGGAAGATCCTGTCTCTATGAATCCTCAGACTGAATGAGCGGCCGAGATCCTGTCTCCACCCACTTTACATTCCTGTCTGTACCTCCCTAGTGCTGGGATTAAAGGCATAATCCTCCCAACTTCTGGTATTAAAGGTGTGTGCCACCACTGCCTGGCCTCTGTGGTTAACTAGTGGCTAGCTCCGCCCTCTGATCTCCAGGCAAGATTTATTTGTCAGAACACAAACAAAATATCATACAACATCTGAGTTCTGTAAGAAAGTAAGCTGAGTAAAAACCATGAGGAGCAAGCCAGTAAGAAGTACCCTTCCATGGCCTCTGCTTCAGTTCCTGTCTCCAAGTTCCTGATGAGTTCCCAGCCTGATTTCCCTGGATGATGGAATAAACCCTTTTCTCCCACAAGCTGGTTTTGGTCATGGTGTTTATCACAGCAATGGAAAGCAAACTACAAGAGTGGCAAAGATAACAATTTTCATAAAATAATAAAAATAGCAGCTGCAGATACTGATCCTTTATAAAGGCCAAACACTATGTTGAGCACATTCTATGGTAAGTTAATCCTCTCAATAAACATACAATGTAAGTATTACTTACCATCATCATCATCATTTGGGAGGCACTGAGCATTGAACCTAGGGCAGTGGTTTTCAACCTGTGGGTCAAGACCCCTTTGGGGGTCAACAACCCTCTCACAGGGGTTGAATATCAGATATCCTGCATATCAGATATCTACATTATGATTCATAACAGTAGCAAAACTACACTTATGAAGTAGCAACAAAATGATTTCATGGTTGGGGTCCCCACAATATGAGGAACTGTGTTATAGGGTCGCAGCATTAGGAAGGTAAGAACCACTGACCTAGGTAGGTCTCACACATACTAGGCAAGTCCCTTCCCATTAAGCCTTTGTCCCAGCCCTTTCTTGGCTTTTTAGAGACAAGAGCTCGTGACATTGCCAGGCAGACCTTGAACTTGCTGTCCTCCTGCACTGTCACAGGGAGTCAGGATCTCAGGCCCACTGTTAGCAGTTTTTGAGTCAGGGGTGTGCTGGGCATGGTGGCATACCCTTGCATCCCAGCACCTGAGGAGCAGAAGCAGGAGGGCGGTCTCTCTCGCCACAGCCTATGCTGGCCTTCAACTCATGATATTCCTGCCTCACTTTCCAGAGTGAGAACAGGTAATTATGCTCTCCATTTGACAGATGAAGAAACCTAGGTCTGAAGAGATTGCATGCTGTTTTTTTCCTGGCTATAACCATGGAGATGCCAAAGAGAAGAAAAAGGAGGTTCCTGCTGTGCCAGAAACCCCTAATAGAAAAAGAGAAGAAACTTCAGAGTTGAAGGGAAAGCTCTTGAAAAGAAATGTTTCAAAAAATGCCCCAGAAGACAAAGAGGAAAACTTATTGTGAAAAAACACGCACTATCACAAGGAATACACACAGATACACAGAACCGAGATCCCAAGGCCAGACGGTAAGAAAGGCTGGCAACCCCCTGTACTTTGCAGAACCCAGTTGGCCTTTGTCATCAGAATCAGAGACGTCCATATCGTGGTCTGAATGTGAAATATCCCTATAGTCCACGCATTGGAACAACTGGGCCTCAGCCGATGGTGCCGCTTGAGAAAGTTGTGGAACCTTTAGGAGGTAGAGCCCCGCTGGAAGAAGTATGTCATGAGGGAACACATACTTTCTGTTCTCTCTCTGCTTCCTGTGGACCAGCCAGCCTCTTATTCCTGCCATCATTCTTTCCTGACTGTATCCCTCTGGAACTGTAAGCCAAAATAAGCCCTTTACCTCGTAAGTTCTTTTTTTGTTGGTTGTTGGGTGTTTTTTTTTTTATGTGTTTGTTTGTTTGTTTTTTGAGACAGAATCTCTCAAAGTAGCCCTAGCTGTCCTAGAACTCTCTATGTAGAACAGGCTGGTCAGAATTCACAGAGGTCCACTTGCCTTGGCTCCTCAGAGTACACCACCACACCCAGGTCTAAGTTGATTTGTTTGTTTGTTTGGGTTTTTCGAGACAAGGTTTCTCTGTGTAGTCCTGGCTGTCCTAGAACTCGCTTTGTAGACCAGGTGGGCCTCAAACTCACAGAGATCTGCCTGCCTCTGCCTCCTGAATGCTGGTATTGAAGGCGTGCGCCACCTCCACCTGGCTAAGTTGATTTTTCCAGAGTATTTTTATCACAGCAACAGAAAGTAACTAAGACAGAAACTGGTACCAGGAGGGGGGCAATTGCTGGTAAGCCTGACTGTAAGGTTCTTAGGTGTTTGAAACTAATTTGGGAGAAGGAAGTGAAAGAGCTTGGAAATTTGGCCTAGAAAAGCCCTTAGCTGCTGTAAGAAGGACTTTGTAGGCTCTTCTGGGAAGGAGTCCGTAAGAGAAAGAAGCAGAGAAAAGTGCAGACTGTAGAGGCTTGGCTCATGAGGAGTCAGAGGTGAACAAGGATTCTATGGGAACTGGGCTGGAGGCCATTCAGGTTTATTCTGGCAAAGAATTGGCTATATTCTGCAACATCTAGACACTTGAGGGAGGCTGACTTAGAAAGTCATGGACTACTTGTCTGCAGAGGAGCTTTCAAGGCAGGAAAACCCGAGGCTGCTTACTGCTCACTGCTCCATCATCTGTAGTGAGAAAGAGCAGCAAGTGGAGCAAAATAACAACTGTGAAGCTTGTCAAGGAAGGACGCACAAGCAAGATTAGAGCTGTGAACAAGGAGAGTGCAGATAATAATACACCTTCAATTGCTCAAGAGATGGGTGCCATTAAAGAGGAACCTCTTACTCTGCACTGAGACAATACGGTGCCTTGGAGCTGCAGCAGTGGCGGAGCTGCAGCAGTGGCTGAGCTGCCCTCGTGTGAGGCTGTGAAGATAGAGTCTAGGTTGTAATAAAGACTCCAGGACATGAGATGCTAGGACCATGACATCACTACTGAAGATAGATGCAGGCATGGGATGGAGCTGGCCCACGAGAGAATCTCTGTGCTATATGCAGACAGCACAACTCTCGGAGCGCAGCGGAACATCAGAGCACCAGGTGCTGAACAGAGCTGCAGGGCTGCAGGAATGCTGTTTGCCCTCCTGGATTTCAGGCTTGCTTTGCTCCAAACTTTCCTTGCTATGCCCCATTCTTCCCTTTTAAAGTAGGAATGTACACCACGTGCCATTGCATATTGGAAGTATATAGTTCATTTTTTATTGATGGGGGTCACAATTAGGAGATGGGCTGGCAAGATGGCTCTGCAGGTAAATGAACATACTTGCTGTACAGGCCTGACAACCTGAGTTCATTTCCTGGAACCCATGGAGGAAGGAGAAAACTGACTGCTGAGAGTTGTCCACTGACCTGTAGCACATATATGAATGTAAGCGTGTGTGCGCACATGCTCACACATAGACATAATCATAATGATATTAACAATACTATTTTAAAAAATTAAGAAGCGGGGCTGGAGAGATGGCTCAGGGGTTAGGAGCACTGGCTGCTCTTCCAGAGGACCCGGGTTCAATTCCCAGCACCTACATGGCAGCTCACAACTATCTGTAACTCCAGTTCCAGTAGATCTGACACCTTCACACCAATGCACATAAAATAAAGTTAAATAAATTAAAAAAATCAAAAAGCCAGGTGTGGTGGCACACACCTTTAATCCTAGCACTCAGGAAGCAGAGGCAATCAGATCTCTGGAGTTCAAGGCCAGCCTAGACTACATAGCAAGTTCCAAGTCAGCTAGAGCCACACAGTAAAACCCTGTCTCAAACATACAAATTAATTAGAAGAGTGATGATCTGCGTTTTAGATATTTCAGGTGGAGAATTTGAACTTTTGAAGTGTTGGCACTGTTAGGGACTATGGGGATTTCTGAAGTTTGACTGAATGTTTACTAGAAGGGTAACTAAGTTGTCCCCATGAGCTTATGGGAACAGGGACTGACTAATGTTTTAATGTCCCCATAGACTCGGGTATTGGAGTACTTGGTGTGCAGCTGGTGGTACTGCTTGGGAAAATTATGGAACTTTGTTTCTTTCTTCTTCTTCTTCTTCTTCTTCTTCTTCTTCTTCTCCTCCTCCTCCTCCTCCTCCTCCTCCTCCTCCTCCTCCTCCTCCTCCTCCTCCTCCTTCTCCTTCTTTTCAAGACAGGGTTTTTCTGTGTAGCCCTGGTTGTCCTGGAACTCACTCTGTAGACCAGACTGGCCTCAAGTCACAGAGATTCACCATCCCTCTCATAACCTTTTAGATTCTATTGTTTTTTTTTTTTTTTAAAGATTTATTTATTTATTATGTATACAGTGTTCTGTCTGCACATATCCCTGCAGGCCAGAAGAGGGCACCAGATCTCATTACAGATGGTTGTGAGCCACCATGTGGTTGCTGGGAATTGAACTCAGGACCTTTGGAAGAGCAAGCAGTGCTCTCAACCTCTGAGCCATCTCTCCAGCCCAGATTCTATTGTTTTATGACAGCATTTTAAAATAGTTTTGGATTTATTTTTACTTTATTTATTTTTACTTTATTTGTTTATGTGGTACTTACATACCATGTGCATGTCTCATGCCTGCAGAGGCCAAAAGATAGCAGAGCCCCTGGAATTTTAACTCCAAAGTTAGAGATGGTTGTGAGCCACCATGTGGGTACTGGGAACTGAATCTGAGTCCTCTGCAAGAGCAATTGAATGCTCTTAACAACTGGGCCATCTCCATAATGGCAGCATTTTAGTTTAACTATGCTAACATCCAAAACACAGCACCCAACAATGTTTTTGAATTTCCATTTAACAGCTTTATCTTAGCATGTCTAAAACTAACTGCCTGAATGAACAAGAAATATTGTCAAATGTGGAAGGACCAGGGATGGGTGCACACATATGTAACTGTAGCACTAGGCAGTTAGTAGACTGAGCAGAAACATCTCCAGTTAGCAACCAAACTGAGATAAATGGCAAACAAATTTTAAAACAAAACAAAACAAATAATAATAATAATAACACCTGTAATTCCATACTCTAGAGGCAGAGGCAGGAAGCTGGAGACTTCAAGATCGTCTTCAGCTAAGTTTGAGGCCATCCTGGGGCACATGAGACTGTCTCAAAAATCTGTGGTCTCAGCCGGGCGGTGGTGGCGCATGCCTTTAATCCCAGCACTTGGGAGGCAGAGCCAGGCGGATCTCTGTGAGTTCGAGGCCAGCCTGGGCTACCAAGTGAGTCCCAGGAAAGGCGCAAAGCTGCACAGAGAAACCCTGTCTCGAAAAACCAAAAAAAAAAAAAAAAAAAAAAAAAAATCTGTGGTCTCAGTTAACAGAGCAGCAGAAATGGGAAGATCACTTGAATCCACAAGTTCTAAACCAATCTAGGTAATATTGGGGCAGGGAGTAGAAAGCATATCAGAAACCATTTTTTATATTTATTATTTTTTTAATATTCACAATGTCTAGTCCATTTGTATTAGGCAAATTCAGAGAAAATACTCCATTATCTATCCTATCTTGATGAGTCCAAAGTTTTATACCTAAACCACTTTCTATCATAACTTGTATTACCATCCAAAAAATATCTTTTTAGACCTTAAAACATTTTCTTAGATAAACAACTTAAGCTTTTATGTTTTTTTTGTTTTCCCACTTAAATGTCCAAAACAATTTTTACACTAAACTGGCTTAGATTGGCTGTAGAATATATCTTGAGTTTGTGAGTACTGTAAATAAGATATATAGTCTAGTAGATGGGAAATAAAGAATGAAAAGACAGACATAAAAGCAACAAGGGTCTGGTGTAGTGGCTCAGGCCTGGAATCCCAGCACTTCAGAGGGAGAGGCAGGAGGATTAGGAATTTAAGGTCATCTTCAACCATTTGAGACCAGTCTGGGCTACAGGCAATCCACAGAGCAAAACAAACAAACAAAAGAAAAAGCAATGAACCGGGCTAGGAAGGCACACAGCTGGACAGTGCTGCCCAGCAATGACCCGGGCTAGGAAGGCACACAGCTGGACAGTGCTGCCCAGCAATGAACCGGGCTAGGAAGGCACACAGCTGGAGAGTGCTGCCCAGCAATGACCCGGGCTAGGAAGGCACACAGCTGGACAGTGCTGCCCAGCAATGACCCGGGCTAGGAAGGCACACAGCTGGAGAGTGCTGCCCAGCAATGACCAGGCTAGGAAGGCACACAGCTGGAGAGTGCTGCCCAGCAATGACCAGGCTAGGAAGGCACACAGCTGGACAGTGCTGCCCAGCATGCACTAAGCCCAGGTTTTATCTTCAGCACCACAAAAAAATGGGCATAGTAGTCCATGTCTGTAACCCCAGAACTTGGGAACTGGGTGTCAGGAGGGTCAGAAGTTCAAGGTCTTCCTCAGCTATCTGGCTGTCTGGCCAGTTTGAAGTTAGCCTAGGCTATATGAGACACTGTCTCAAAAAATAAAACAGCAACCAACCACACTTTTAGTCCCATCTCCTACTGACCTTTTCACCACATCCTTGTATCCTGGGGCCTGCTTTTCTGACACAGGCTTCAGAAATGGACTGCTGAACCTGTTAAGAAATAAACCCAAAGAGGATAAAGAAACCCCGGCGAATCACTCTAAAGGAGAAGGGCGGCTCATAACAAGAATACTTCAAACTACAGAGTAAATGAGGTATGGTGGCTCATCACAGCACTAAGGACACTGAGACAGGAGGACCACCAAGAGTGGAAGGCCTGTCTCGACTACATATTGAGTTCTGGTTCTAGGCCAGCCAGGCTACAGAGCAAAAACAAACAAACAGCATATGGCTTTTGTTGACCTCCCTCAACAGCCAGAATGTTAGGGAGGGGGGAACCCAATCTATAAAATATTTTAACTATGATCATAATCTCTTTTAGTTAAGGACTCAAAAATTTGTTCAAGTTTTCCAAGACTCTAGTTTTTTTTCTTTTCCTTTTAAAAGTATTTATTTTCATTTCATGTGTCTGAATGTTTTGCCTCCACGTACATAGGTGCATCACATGTGTGCAGTGCCCACAGAAGCCAGAAGAGGGCACCTGATGCCTTGGAACTTGAGTTACAGATAGTTGTGAGCCACTGTGTGGGCACTGGGAACTGAGTCCATCCACGTCCTCTGCAAAAGCAGCAAGTGTTCTTACCTGCTGAGCTCTCTCTAACCATTTGTTTGTTTTGAGGCAGGTGTCACGTAGCTCAGGCTAGCCTCAAACTTGCTATACAGCTAAGAATGAACATGTAGTTGTGATTCTCCTGCCTTGATGGGTGTGCACCACCAGACCTGACAGGTATATGTAACACTTCATACATGCTAGGTGAGCATTCTCCCACCTGAGCCACACCCATAGCTCTGAGGATCTATTACTGTGGAAAGGAAAAGCCACCACATGGGAAGGAGGCATCTACATCTGAAGTACAAAAATATCAAGTATTAGGAATAAATTCCTAGAGACAATTCAAATAGCACAGCAACGACTCCTTATAGACTAATAAAGCAGCGATAGGTCTCACCCATGGCTTCGTTCTTAGTTTGGGGGCCTCTTTGTTTTGAGACAGTCTCCTACAGCCCAGGCCTGTCTCAAACTAGAATGCCTTTCGACTTGTGATCATCCTTCTTCCATCTCCCTAAGGCTAGGATAACAGGCATGTTAGGCCCTAGCCAGTGTTCCGATGTGTTTCATCTATGTTCATCTAGTGTTTCATCTATGTTCCGATGAAACCTAGAACTTTCTGCAAGCTGGGCAGGCACAACAGCAGCTGAGTCTCAGACCCACACTCCCACTCCAGTTATGGCTTGTATGAAGGAGGAACATATCCCCTTCTGTGTTCATATCCAAGTACGTGTTTTGGTTCTGGAGATAATCTCACGTTGGAAACCTACCTGTGACTGGCAATCATCTTCCAGACTTGCAAAAGAGTCTTCTTAAATAGGAAATGATCCTGAATAGGATCACCTTGGCTTAGGTCATTCCTACAGGATATATGACAGAAAAGAGACAGTCGCTTCATAAGTAGTACTGTGTCTCATTAGATGGGTAATGAGGCTTTCCCAAGGCATAGTGCTCCTAATTAAACACTTGAAGGAATATATCATAGGTATGAAAATGTACTTAATACTCTTATAAGGGATAGTAAACTATATGTTTAACATTTTTTTCTTTTATGTGTCTCTGAGTGTGCCTGTGTGAATTTATGTGTACCAAGAATGAACTGGTGCCTGTGGAGGCCAGAGACATTGGGTGCCCTTGGTACTGGAATTGCAGGTGGTTGTGAGCTGCCTGATATGGGTGCTGGGAATTGAACCAAGGTCTTCTACAAAAGCAGTAAGGGCTATTAACTGCTGAGCTATCTCTCTCCAGCCACAATAAACTGTATCACTACCACCCAATGAAGTGGTTAACTTTATTTTACATTTATTTCTCTTTTTTTTCTTTTGAGACAGGGTTTCATGTAGACCAGCTGGCTTTGAACTAGCTATGTAACTGAAGATGACCCTGAACTCCTGATTCTCCTTCCTCCATATTCCAGAACACTTGAATTATAGGCTGATGCCACCATGCTGGGTAAGTGGTCACTGTTTTATAAAGTATACTACAATATGAGCCTGCTTGTCCTTTTTCCCTTTTCCCTTCCCCTACCCCCACCCTGGTGTTGGAGGCAGGGTCAGCTATGTAGTAAAGACTATTCTGAAAATCTGTGTTTAGCCCAAGATGGCTTTAAACTGTTCAGCCTCCAGCTTCCCAAACGCTGGGATTACAGGTCACCTGTGCCTTGTCACCTCTGGTTTGTACCTGTGATTCTACAGAACTATCTATTCAACAGTCTGAAGTGGGCCTAATGGTGCACACCTATAACTCAGTACTTTGGAAGCAGGAGGAGGAAGGTCAGAGGTTAAAGGCTACATAATGAGCTGGAGGGCAATCTGGGCTACACGAGACGCCACCTCAGTGTTCCTTCCTAAGTACCTAGAACCACCAGACACATAGTAGATACTATTAATTTCTTCCTGACACATCAATGAATTCTCTTATGTTTTATTTGAATGCTAGATAGCCAATAGTTTTCCTTTTCACTCTCCCCTGTATGCCTCATTAGAGGCAGGCAAGCTCAGCTATCTGGAAGTCCATTTCTTTGGGCTATACACATACCACTCCTTTTCTAGGAATGCACTTGGTAGCCTAAGACCCTTACCTGAACACACTTATGCATACACACTCCTCTCTGAACGATGTACCTAGAAACCTGTTGGCAGCTGGGGATCCCTACCTGTATCAGGCTGTGAGTAGCTGCTTTACACAGTAGAAATATGTCATTCCCCTCATCAACTTCTTGATAATGGCCACCCCCTGCTTTCCATTCTAACGATCTGAAGTGGGCCCATCTCCCCTAGACTGGTTCTGGATGCAAACTGTCTCCTAACTGAACTTTTGCTTTTTTCTCCCTGTTCTGGAGATTAAACTTAAGCCCTCCTGCATGCTAGTCAATATCCCCTCAGCCTTCCTTTGCATAGTAATCTTAGTTGTTTTCATTTTTCCCTCTAATTTCCTTTATAGCGTGTGTGTATGTGCACACGTGTGCGTGCACACAGGTGGGTTCCATGGTGCACGGATACATATGGAGGTCAGAGGACAACAGCAGGAGTTGGCTCTCTTCTTCCACCATGTGGGGCCCGGGGATTGAACCCAAGTCAACAGGTCGGCAGCTAGTGCCTTACACACTGAGCCCTCTCTCCAGCCCTCATTCTTCATGTTTGTTTGTGTTTTGATCCTGGGGCTTCTTGTTGGCTGGGCAAGCAAGCCCTCTACATTGAACTCTATCCTTAGCTACCATAATCTTTAAAACTACCTATTAGAGATTGATTTCTCCTCGTGATACGGCCTGTCCTGCACTGAATTGTCTTATTTTATTTTGCTTTTCTTTTGAGATACAACAGTTCAATATTTTATCTCACCTTATAATTTTCCCAGTTGTACAGTTTTCTGTTGAGCCAGGCGGTGGTGGCGCACACCTTTAATCCCAGCACTCAGGAGGCAGAGGCAGGCAAATCTCTGAGTTTGAGGCCAGCCTGGTCTACAGAGTGAGTTCCAGGACAGTCAGGGCTACACAGAGAAACTCTATCTCGAAAAACAAACAAACAAAAACAGGAAAAAGATATAAATAAAGACTTTCTGCTTACTCCAAAGTTAAATGATATATGTTTCATGTTCTACATTATATACTGTATTATTCCCTTGAAAGAGATTGTCTTAACACTCAGATTTCCAAATTCTCTAAATCAGGCATGGTGGCACATCTGTAATTCTAGCACTTGGGAGATAGAAACTGGAAGATCAGAACTTCATCATCCTTGACTACACAGTGAATTCAAGGCCAGCCTGGGCTACATGAGACCCTGTTTCAGGAAAAAAAGAATGCCATATTCTCATTTTGCATTGTATACCAGATGGTATAAATCCACGTGAAACTATAATTCCTATTATCTGCTCAATTTTAATACCTCCACATAACTATTTATTTTCACTATGTATTATTTCAACTATATCTAGAGTCCATTTTTAGATTCATTTTTATTTGATGTGTATAAATGTTTTGACTGCATGTATGTATGTGTACTACGTGTGTACCTGGAACCTACGGAGGTCAGAAGAGGGCATTGGATGCCATGAAATTGGAGTTACAGAAGGTTTTGAACCACTTTATGGTGCTGAGAACTGAACCCTAGTCCTCTACAAGAGCAGCAAGTATTTATAACTGCTGGTGTTTCTCTCCAGGCACTTGTAAATCATTTATTTACTTATTTATTTTGAGATATGGTCTCACTATGTATCCCTGGATGTCCCAGAACTTGCTGTGTAAACTAGGCTGGCCTTGAACTCACAGAGATCCACATGCCTCTGTATCCTGAGTGCTGGGATTAAAGACATGCACCACCACACCTGGCCTCACCTGGATCTAAATCACATACCACCAAATCATATAATTTTACTATGATCTTTACTCAACTTATCCTTAAATGCTATTATTTACAGAACCCTATCCAAATAAGACATTTAAAGCACAAAACAAATTTCTTTTCTTTTTTCCTATTTTATTTATTTTTTAAGATTTTATTTTTGTTTTGTAATTCTGTGTGTTTCTGTGTACATGAGTGCAGTGCCAGAGGAGGCCAGAAGAGGGTGTCAGATTCCCTGGAGCTGAGGTACAGATGGTTGTGAGCCTCCGGATATGGGTGCTGGGAAACGAACTTGGGTCTTCTGCAAGAGTAGCAAGTGTTCTTAACTGCTGAGCCATCTCTCCAGCCATTCCTATTTTATTTAATGTTTTTATTAGCATATATTAATTATACATAATAATGGATTTCATTACATTGTCATACACGCACATTAATAGATTTCAATCAAATTCACCACCCCTTACCATCTCTTGTCCTCCTTCAACTCATTTTAATGTCCTTCCTTTTCCCAGTTAGCCTCACTTCTACTTCCGTGTGTGTGTGTGTGTGTGTGTGTGTGTGTGTGTGTGTGTGTGTGTGTCCGTCCCAATGAGTGGTCATTAGGAAGGTGGATGGGAGGTTTGTTATAGCAGTATCCGTGCCTTAAGTTTTGGATCACTCAGCCTAGATTAACACTAGCTCTTTTGTACTAGGTTGTAGAACTTCACTGATACATCCTCATAATAAAGACTTAATGTATCCACTATATGTGCTGTGGTGGGTTTTGTAACCTCATAATTAACCAACTTCGCATATTTTAAGAATCTGTTTTACCTTTATTTTACCCATATGGAGACAAACACCAGCCAACATAAATGAGAGTAAAGCAAGGGAGTGGCTAGTACTACATAGCAGGACCAGAACCCAGAGGCTGTCTCCTGGCTTCGTCAGTGCAGACTTCAGCAGGAGACAGAAAAGAGCCCGGAGAACACCTGTTCTGTCTGTTTCTGTTTTCCAAAGCTAGAATATAGGCCTTGAGTATACTAGCCAAGAGCTCTATCGACAGGCTCTCTTTGGGATCTACCTCCACCGTCCCTCTCCAGGGACGGTTGTTGTGTTATTGTCTGACAGAGGGCTTCACTTTGTAGCCAGGCTGGAACTTATTAGGTCAGCCAGGGAACTCGTGAGCTCTGGGATTATAGATGTCAGGCACCAAGCCCAGATATGGAGCTGTTTTTTAAAGGAGTTTAAAACTTCTGCTTTAACATAAGAATTCAGCTTTCTATTTCCCCTTAAGAAAACTGGTCAAGCCTGTAACCTCACTTAGGGGGTAGAGGCAGGAAGATCAGAAGTTTAAGATTACTCTCAGCTACATATTGAGTTCTAGGCCAGCCTGGGTTCCATGAGACCCTAGTTCAAAAACAAACAAAAAAAGATATTTGGTCAAGCAGATATCATTACTGATATTCTGTTCTGTTCTGTTCTGTTCATATATACAATTTTCTCTGAATTGAAACATTCCATTTTGAAATGAAACTTCTTAAAGACTCAGGAAGTTATCAGGCATGTTGGCACATGCCTTTAATCCCAACACTTGGGAGGCAGAGACAGGTGGATCTCTGTGAGTTTCAGCCTGGTCTACATATCGTGTTCTAGGACAGCCAGGTTTGATTCCTTGTCTTAAAACAAGACAAAACAAAGAAAAAGACTCAGGAAGTTCTAAAAGGACTTCCTTTTTAACTCATTAGGAGGCTCATTAAGATCAGGAAGCAGCCGGGCGGTGGTGGCGCACGCCTTTAATCCCAGCACTCGGGAGGCAGAGGCAGGCGGATCTCTGTGAGTTCGAGGCCAGCCTGGGCTACCAAGTGAGTCCCAGGAAAGGCGCAAAGCTACACAGAGAAACCCTATCTCGAAAAACCAAAAAAAAAAAAAAAAAAAAAAAAAAAGATCAGGAAGCAAACAACTGGCAAGTCTCAGGAAGTCCCTGAAACTGAGAAGATTCACAGGCTCCCCTCCTGCCAAAGTTATATAAATAGTAAGGACTTCTAAGGAGACTCTCCAATCTATTGAGCTGCCTACAAGTTGTACAGAAGGATCCAAGATTTCAGCTTTTGTGAGATGTTACCATGATGGGTTGGGCTTTCAGTGATACAGCTGCCTTTGAGATATTCATTCTCCAGTAAGTAACCTCTCACCTATATTCCTGTAAATTACCCTAATAAACTCATTAGTTCACCAAGGTGGACTTTGGTGGTATCATTACTTTGGTCTGTGATCAGTTCCCTGTTGAGGTAAGTAGATGTTTGCTAGAATTTCCCCAGTAATAACATCACGCAAAACCAGGTTCATTATGTAGTTCAGGAGCATCAGCCTCCAAGAGTTCTAAGATTACAGTCTGTCTGTACCAACATACTTCACTATTTTTTGCTTTCCAAAAACAGTCTAAGGAGGACATGGCGGAGCATATCTGTAATCCCAGTACTCAGGAGTCAGAGGCAGGAGCATTCATTACAAGGCACAGGCTCACAGGAGCTCCCTAGTAAGACCATATTTCAAATAAATAGATAGATAAAATATTGTCTTTAGTCCCTCAATTAGCTATAAAAATAAGACAATTATATTAACAATTTCCCAAGATACATGCATGACAAAGGGAGAACATAAACTTTAATCTTAAAGAGCCAGGCATGATGGCTTAGATTTATAATCCTAGCACTTGGAAGGTAGAAATAAGAGGATCAATAGTAGGTATCCTCAACTACATAGCTAATTTGAAGCTAGCCTGGGCTACATGAGACCCTGTCTTGGGGAGAAAAACATAATAATTTTTAAAAATATGTATTTTTGGAGACAGAGTTTTGCTCTGTAGCTCTGGCTGTCCTGGAACTAAGTAGACCATGCTGGCCTTGAACTTGGAGCAAAGTCTTCCTGCCTCTGCCTCCCAAGTGTGAGAGCACAGGCATGCACTCCTGGTCCTGTTTCGGTAGTTTTTAAAAAGGTCTAGTTTGTATAACAGTAGATTACTGAGCATCATTTCCTTAGTAAATCAAACTAGTAATTATTAAGAAGGTTTATGTATGATAGAGACTCTTTTCCCCCTCTTTTTCCCAATGGTGGAGACTGAACCTAGGGCTTTTCATCTAGTAAGCAAGCGTTCTATCACTGAGCTACATCCTCATCCATGAAGGTGCTCTTAATATCAACAAAACAGGCTGTTTGTTGTTTTTAAGGTTTAGTTAATTTTATGTGCATAAGTGTTTTGCTTGCATGTATATATTAGCACTGAGTATGTGCCTGGTACTTAACAAGGCCAGAAGTGGGTGTCAGTTCCCATGAAAATGGAGTTATAGGCAGTTGTGAGCCACCACATAGGTGCCAATAACTGAATCCAAGTCCTCTGCAAAAGCAGCAAACACTCTTAACCACTGAGCCATCTCTCCAGCTCCAACCGAATTATAAACTTCTATTTATAGTATGTTAAAAATTTAACCTGAGCTCAGGAAGTCAGGCTAGTTTTGGTGACATATTGAGCACCTTGTTCAAAAAACTATTCTTAGTGTTTTCCACCTGTAACTTCTTTAAAACCTTATAAAATAATTCATTTCATGGTAACAGATTCAAGTAACTACTAAGAGAAGTAAATAAAAGTATGAATCCTAGCAATCACGGATGGAGACCTATGCTTAGAGGTCCTAGCCACGCTGGGGATCACATTCAGTATCCTGAGTATGTTAATCAAGCACTCTACCATTCAGTCACACCCCAGCCCTATACTTACAGTTGTGAGGAGTTGGTACAGTTGTAAAGGATATCCACCAGGGGAGTTTCCTGAATGCCCACGCCATCATCATAGTCACCTAAAGGGGGCTGGTCTTCCACATCTGAAGCATCCCCTTCACCCTGGTCCTCCTCTTTGGAGTCTTGCTGAGCCTCCCCCTGGGAAATCCAAGAAGCACAGGGAACTTTAGAGCTACCTTAGCTGCACCATAACCTGACTTACACAGAGTAAGTGAAGGTGAAGGCAGACCTTAAGGTGAGAAGAGGCCAATTCTATACAGCACCAGAAAAATTAGAACAAGGTGACCTTGTTAGACAAACCAATAAAGTTTATTTATAACCTGAACAATTTAAAGATGTCCCCAAAATGAAACAGTGTACTTAATTCTAAATTTGATGTTGACCTCTGCAGAGAAACAAACAAACAAACAAACCAAAAAAAAAACAAAAAACAAAAAACAAAAACCCAATCCTTTACCATTACCCGTGGTCTTAAAGTTAGCTATTATAGCCGGGCGGTGGTGGCTCACGCCTTTAATCCCAGCACTCGGGAGGCAGAGCCAGGCGGATCTCTGTGAGTTCGAGGCCAGCCTGGGCTACCAAGTGAGTTCCAGGAAAAGGCGCAAAGCTACACAGAGAAACCCTGTCTCGAAAAACCAAAAAAATAAAATAAAATAAAATAAAATAAAATAAAGTTAGCTATTATAGCTGGCCAGATAATATTAACAGTGAGATTCCAAAAGTAAAGATACCTCTAAGAAACCCTCTGCCTATTCCAGGAAAGAGACCACCCCTACTGTCCCAGCATGAGGCTGTGAGGTTAGAATGGGAGAAGAAGACTTCTAGGCCCAGATACTAGAGGCCGCTGGCTGTTGCCCCTTAGCTCCGACTTTCACTCTGGAAGGTGGACTTCCTGCTGTGGCCTCATCTGCTGAGAACCCTCCTCTGACTCTTGTTCTGCCTGTTCGGGGTTACACGCTGAGGACCTAAGAACAGAGACGGCTGTGGCTGGGATCAAACAGGAGACAACTCCATCTATGTAACAACTTTTCTTTGGTTTTTCCAGGCAGGGTTTCTCTGGGTAGCCCTGGCTGTCCTTGAACTCACTCTGTAGACCAGGCTGGCCTTGAACTCAGAGATCCACCTGCCTCTGCCTCCTGAGTGCTGGTGTGAGCCACCACCACCTGATAATAAAAATTATGAGTCATGCATTGTACTTGACATGAGCTATCTTTTTATTTCCCTATTTATTTTTAGGTTTTTTTTTTTTTAGTTTTTGTTGTTTGGGGTTTTTTGTTTTGTTTTGTTTTGTTTTTCTTGGTTTTTCCAGACAGGGTTTCTCTGTGTACCTTTGATGCCTGTCTTGGATCTCACTCTGTAGACCAGGCTGGACTTGAACTCACAGAGATCCACCTAGCTCTGCCTCTGGAGTGCTGGGATTAAAGGCATGTGCCACTACTGCCTGTATTTTAAAAGTGTGCACCACCGCCCAGCTATTTTTAGCTTTTAATTATGTTTATTTGTGTACACACACACACACACACACACACACACACACACACACACACACACACGAGCATACGTGGAAATCAGAGGACAACTTTTAGCAATCAGTTTCCTCCTTCCAGTATGTGGGTTCTGGGGACTGAATCTGGGTCTTCAAACTTGGTAGTGAACACCATTAGCTGCTAAGCCATCTCATTTTCCGATTTAGCTATTTATTGTTTTTGAGACAGGTCTTACTGTCTTGCCCAGGCAGATCTCAACCCCCAAGGTCAAATGGTCCCTGTACCTCAGCCTCCTGAGTGACTGCGTGCATCACTGAACTCCACTCAATTGTCTCCTTTGTTTGCAACCCAGTCCTATTTACCTCAGGCTGGACTTAGATGCGGCTGAGGATAACCTCAAAATTCTGATCTTCCTGCTGCTACCTCTTGACTGCTGGGATCACACATGTGCATTTTTACACTCTGCTTATTTGGAGCTAGGGATCCAACTCAAGGCGTTATGCATGCTAAACAAGCAATCTACCAATTAGCTCACCCCTAGCCCTGTTTAGGGTGTCTTATAGCCCACGCTGATTTCAAATTCGTTGTGTAGCCAAGGATGGCCTTGAATTTCTGATCCTCCTGCCTTTGCCTTCCAAGTGCTAGGATTACAGGGGTGTGCTACAATGTCTGGCTGAATTCTTGTTTTTCGAGACAGGATTTCTCTGTGTAGTTTTGGTGCCTGTCCTGGATCTTGCTCGGTAGACCAGGCAGGCCCTCGAACTCACAGAGATCCGCCTGGCTCATGCCTCCCTGAGTGCTGGGATTAAAGGTGTGCGCTACCACCACCCGGCTCTGGCTGAATTCTTGCATTTAAATCTCACCATAAGATCTTTAAAGAAGAACACTATTTAATCTGTGTGGAGCAGAGAAAACAGGGGTTCTGAATATCCAGTAACATACTATAGATCACATGGTGCTTTGGACCCAAGACGTTTAACTAACTCTGGAGCTAGGATATGTGTTGTAGCCACTCTGTTCTACTACCCTGGGAAGACCAGGTGATCGAAACTGTTTACCTCTTCACTCTCTGTAGGTAGCCCCCCTATGGGATAGTATGTGTGGGGGCTGGAGCTGCCTCTGGCTTTCCATATTCTCTCAGTAGCTTCTTTCAAGCCACTGAGTCTAGCTTGGCTACAAGCTCTTCAGTCTGTCTGCAGGGCTCCTCTTTCACTTTGGTAGTTTCCATTTCCCTCCTCTCCTGTTGCCTGGTACCAACCAGAGGAAGGGCAACAGTTTTCCCTTGAGTCTTTGCTGCTAATGCACAATGGCTCCATTAAATAAGCCACCTGCAATCAAAGTTTATTATTAGATGCACTGGAACAGCAGCGAGAAACAGCATCCACACATCAGTGATGCCACATGCTCTCACTGTCAGTATGATGTCTAAGATGGCAACTAGATTTAACCCACTTGATCATTCAATTAAATTTTATCAAAGGTACTGGGTTAGTTGCTCGGGTCATTGTGGTGAACATGTAGACATAGTTCTTAGCTCTTTTTGATTATGGTATAATTTTTTTTTTTTTTTTTTTTGGTTTTTCGAGACAGGGTTTCTCTGTGTAGCTTTGCGCCTTTCCTGGAACTCGCTTTGGAGACCAGGCTGGCCTCGAACTCACAGAGATCCGCCTGGCTCTGCCTCCCGAGTGCTGGGATTAAAGGCATGCGCCACCACCGCCCGGCCGATTATGGTATAATTTTTAATCTCAAGTGCCAATTGTGATTAATTGGAAGTAGTTGTCTAGAAAACTTAAAATCTTTTTCTTCTACAAAAGTGGCGATATTTGAAGTAGATACTTGCTGAACTTGATGTACATTCTCTTGAACATTTTCAGCTGCAGAATAAATATACTCACTGTTCCAATCTGTTGGTCCTCAGCCCTTAACCAAGGTAATGACACTTGAACAAATGGCAAGAATACTCATCATAAGGCAGCCCTGCATATAAAAATTCTACTTCCTAAGACCCAGGGGGCTAAAGATGTGGATTTAGGACATTCCATTGCAAACTTCACATTTGTCCATATTCTACATCAGCACCAAGTGCTGAGGGCATAGCAATCAACCAGCCACTGCCATATTGGAACTGAAAATAAATAAAGATTTATTTTTATTTGCTGGGCGTGGTGGTACGTGCTTTTAATCTTAGCACTTAGGAGACAGAGGCAGGCAGATCTGTTTGAGGCTAACCTAGTCTACATAGTGAGTTCCAGGACAGCCAAAGCTGCAGAGTGAGACCCTATCTCAAAGAAACAAACAAACAAACACACAAAAAGAAAGGTTTTTAATTTTATTTACATATATGTGTGCATGTTTCTGAGCATAGGACACATGTATGTGGGTATCCAAAGAGGTCAGAAGAGGGTATTAATCTGGAACTGGAGTTACAGGCATTTGTGAGCTGCCTGATGTAGGTGCTGGGAACCAAACCCCAGGCATCTGCAAGAGCAGCAGGTGTTCTTTTTTTTTTTTTTTGGTTTTTTGAGACAGGGTTTCTCTGTGTAGCTTTGCGCCTTTTCTGGATCTCGCTCTGGCTGGCCTCGAACTCACAGAGATCCGCTTGGCTCTGCCTCCGAGTGCTGGGATTAAAGGCGTGCGCCACCACCGCCCGGCTGGGTTTTCTTTTTTTTTTTCAGGTGCTCTTAACCACTGACTGACTCATCTCTTTAGGCCCTGAGCCTCTGTTTCAGTAAACTACTAATAGTAGGACTATGCAAGGGAAGCATTTGGTAAAAAGCTGGGTGGGACAGGGTGGTGCACACCTGGGAATGGCAGCCCTTGGGAAGCCGAGTTTCCAGGACTAAGTAGTCAGATCCATCTCAAAAGGAAAGAAAAGAGAAGGGGAGGGGAGGGAAAGGGGGAGAGAGAGGGGAAAGAAGTGTGGTTTTCCCAGCTATGGCAATAATAGCGTCCCCTTACCTCAGACAGGGAGTGGAGGAGGTTCTGGCTGCTGCCTTGCTCTGCCTCCTCCTGAGGTTCTTCACTCTCGACATCTTCCATAAGACACTCACTAGATTCTCTCTCTGGGTTGCTTTCCTCTAGGTCTTCAGCCTCTGCATCTGGAGCCTCAGTTTCCCTCCAGCTGCCCACATCAAGGTCCAGACTGGAGTCCCAGGAGCTGAAGAGGGACCTGTAGTCATTGCTCAGCTCAGAGTCATCGGGACAGTCTTGTCCAGAATCCAACCAAACCCACTCACACCCCATCTGTAAACATATAGAAAAATGCATTAAATTAACTCAAATAAAAACAAAACAAATTAATTCAAATAAACACTCTCAGTACACCCCTGTCTTTCAAGTTCATAGAAAGAGTCCAGAAATTTCTATTCATTAGGAGGCATAAGAGCCAGCTAAAGGGAGACATTAGATGAAATTTTTATCTTTTGGATAAAAAAAAAAGCTTCATGTTTGTATTACCCCGTTTTTAAACTTGGAGATCTTCATCTCCAAAAAGGGGGTGGGAATTGGAGCATACCTGCCTTAACAGACTTGCTTTATCACAAATCATCCATGAACTCAACCACAAGGCAATAAACTTGAGGATAAAAAGATTTTCTTCAGTGTATACACATTTTAATCTATATGAACTTATTAACCATTAGTTTCAAAACAATCATGGTTACCTTTGGCATCCTTCTGGTCATATCTGACTGTCAGAATAAAAACAGAAACACTTTTTTATTCATTCATTCATTTGGAAATTTTATTATTGTTACATGGTGTGTGTATAAATGCCATGTGTGTGCAAATATGTGAATAAATGCCATGCATGTGCAGGCGTCCATGGGCCAGCAGAGGGAGGGATTGGATCCCTTGGATTATAAGTGGTGGTAAACCACCTGATGTAGGTGCTGGGACTTGAACTCAGGTCCTCTGGAAGAGCAGCAAGCACTCTTTAGCTGTTGATCCACCTCTCCAGCCCAAGCAGTTTTAACTGCCTCCTCTTGTTCATTACAGTTTTTTGCACTTTTCTTTTTTCTTCCGTTTAAAGACAGGCTCTCATGTAGACTGGCCTCACATTCAGTAGGCAGCTGAGAACGACCTGGTTTTACTTGGTGCTAGGAATGGAATCCAGGATTTCGCGCATACTAGGTAAGCTAGCTACACCCCAGCATCTAGCTACAGCTTTCAATAGATTTTTTTTCTTGAGTTCTTGCTTGGTCTTCTGCTTTGTCAGTAATTCCTTTAAAGTTTCAACTTTTTTCTCTCTTCAAGTTGCTCCCTTGAGTTTTAAGAAATTTTAAATTACTGTTTATGTATATACACCTGTGTGACATGTTGGCTCCTCAGTTGCTGGGAGTTAGAGGCAGTTGGGGGCTGCCTGGTGGAGTGCTAGGAACTCAGTCTCTCTGGAAAAGCAGTGCATGCTCTCCGTTTCTCCACACCACCACCCCTGGTTTTGTTTTGTTTTGAGTCTTGCTATATCATCAAACTCAAAATTCTACTTAAGCTTCACAAGTGCTGGCTGGAATTACAAACTCGTCCAACATGCCTAGCTTTCCACCATTGAGGGGAATGCCTTTCATCTGTCTGTACTTTATTGCTCCAATAGCACGAGTCCTAATTATGTCTCCTTAGTTTTGCCCCCAACAGTTACTACCTTTGGAAGCTCATGTATCAGCTTTTCTACCAACTGAAAATTTACCTTTAATGTACTTTATCCACAAACTTTCCCAACTTAAAATCTTTTAAAATTTTACTTATTGAGGCCAAGTCTCACCACGCAGCCCTGGCTGGCTTGTGACTCGAGATCCACCTACCTCTGCCTCTGGAGTGCTGGGATTAAAGACATGCACACCCGTGACTAGCATTTTCCAATTCCCAGTGGCTTTCGTTTGTAGCACATGTCAGTTTGTAGACTGCTTTGAGACTTATTTCATATTCTAACTCCTGGACTGACTAACTTCTCCCTTAGCTTAACAAATTTTACATTTTTGAACAGGGTCTTATGTATCTTGGGGTGGTCTAAATTTTGCCGGCTTTATCTTTATCTGCCTGCTGAGTTCAGGATTACAGGCTTCTGTCATGATGGTGTATGAAGGATTAGGCATCAAACCCAAGGCTTCCTCCATTCACTCTAAGCTACACCCCAAACCCTCAAATTTTATAAACAGTCCTATTTTAGGCATTAAGACCTGAGTCTTTTTACCTATTTTTTTCTTTTTTAAATGACAGGGTCTCAACGAGGCAGCCCTGGTTAGCCTGGAACTCACTATGTAGACCAGACTGGCCTCGAACTCACAAAGAGATCCACCTGCCCTTGCCTCACGAATGCTGGGATTAAAGATGTGCACTACCGTACCTAGCTTTAGGTATATTCTTCTTAAACCTTTTCCCTCAAGAAAGAATAAAGAACTAAAGCATGTCCTATTACTAATTTTATTTTTAAAAAGGTTCATACTAGTTCATTTTACTGCTGAAAGAATACTTTTATTTAGTAACAGAAGTTAGTATGGATAGAACTGAGGTCACATGGTCTTAACACATTTAAAAAGTTTTAATTACATTTGTGTGCACACATCCATATATACAAACAAGAATGCACATGCCACTGTGTGTGTGGAGGTCACAGGAGTCAGTTCTTTCCTCCCACCATGTGGTTTCCGGGATCAAACTCAGGTGGTCAGGCATGGTAGCAGGTACCTGGTGAACCTACTGAGACGTCATGCAAGCCCCACCAATATAGTGTTGAGACAAAGCCTCCCTCCCTCCCCTCTGTAGTCCAGGCTGGCCTCAAACTGTCAGCTATCCTCTTGCCTCAGTTTCCCAAGTGCTAGGATTACTGGTATGAGCCACCATGTTGTTTTTCCCCAGCACTGGAGATTGCCAAGGACACTAGCCAAGAGCTGTACAGTTATACTACCATAATACATTCCTATCCCTAAACTTTCTCTCAGAGATTAACCTTCACACAAATAAATTTAGCAATGACTTTTTGTTGTTGTTTTTAAGCACTTTTAGCCCAGTGTGGCACACACACCTATAATCCAAGCTACTGGGGAAGTTGAAATTAGAGGATTTTGAGCTCTAGGCTAACCTTGTCTCTCTCTCTCTCTCACACACACACACACACACACACACACAAATTATTGTACAAGAGTTCTACCTATAGAAATAACGATAACACAGGCAAAGACAGTCCCAGCACAACCCATTCCTGACATACTCTGCTGCCTTTGTCCATGCTCTAATCCCCAAGGAATTGTATGAACTAGATCCTGAAAACCTTAACATTTTCCAAATATTCAAGAAAAGCCCAATCCAACAGCCCTATTGCACAATTAGTTCTTTTAAAAACACTAATTATGAGTTAGACTTGGTTACTCACCTCTTCTCAGGTGCAGCGGGCAGCTTCTAAGACCACTTCTCAGCTCTAACAATCTTAGCCCACATAATTAGTTATCATGGTGAAGAAAACACATTTCAAACACAAAGGACACACCAAAGGCCAGAGTTTTCCTTCTGTTTGTTATATACACACGCTTCACAGGTTTATTTTTAAAAAAAAGTCTGTACACTTCACAAGACAGTACAAATTGGCTACAATCCGCTAGCTACACATTAGGGCATTAACACAACCCATGATTTTTGCCCTAAAACGGGCAACTGTGCTACTCCAACTCTCTGAAAAGAGATTTTCTCAACTCATGGCATCTGGCCCAGGCACCTTCTCTTCTGGGCCCATACTGCTTCTCAGCCTTTTGACTAAGATCAAGTGTGGACCTGAGCCCACAAGCCCCAAGCTATATCTTGTTTATTCCTAGTTCAGGTTCAGCTCAAAGAGGGAACTCTGAGGCTTCACTTCTTCATCTTCATATCTGCTTCAATGGCACAGCGGCGTCCCCTGGTTCCCCCATCCTAGACAACACCAAAGGAAGGAAGGAAGGAAACATGAGTGAGCTGGTAACACGTTAAGAGACAACACACAACAGGAATGCTGGGAATTTGACTTCTTGGGGGAAAGAATCTATAGAGACTACCAAAGGGATGAAGTGGAAAGGATTTTCTGTTTTCCCAGAGTAGCTAAAAGAACACCTGATATTGTGAGTGGAACTGTAAGACAGTGCTTTCTCATGTCAATACAAAGGTCTTCAAATTCACCTGGGGTCCCACAGAATGACTATCATCCCACCCAGCCCCGAACTGTGTGTAAAGAACAGGTAGTGAAAATGAGAGGTGAGAGAGGCAGAAAGGGCAGTGGGGAGTGAGGTTCTTGGCTAACATACCTGTCCAGTTGCTGGTCCCTATAAGAAAGGCCTTTCCTGCAGACTGACCCTGGCACTAGTTCCCTAGCACCTCCTGACAGATGTTCTCCATGAGATCAGGACAATCAGGCTTCTTTCCATCTGCTGCTCTCTCCCTGCAGCCCAGCTCCTTCCTCTTGTGCAAAACTTTGCTGTCTTCGATAGATAAAAGATCCTATTAACTGGCCTTGCAATAGCCAGCCACTTGAATGAGGATCGAGAGTCACTGTTGCAGGCCAATAACAAAGAATAGCGATCACAGTGTTCTGTTTGTGGTACAGGTCTATAGGCAAGATGAACTAGTGAACACTTTTGCTGGGCCGGACCATTTCTGCATTTCTAATATGCAAGGATTAAAAAATTTTTAGAACATAAATTGCCAATAGCCAACAGTAAGAATAGAAATAACACCTTGCATTTGTGTAACATTTTAATTTTTTTTAAAGTTAGCTTCATAACTTAGTTTATCCTCACAACATCCCTGTGAGGTAGGCTAAATAGGTATCTCAATCTTATTCTTTCTTCTTCCTTTTTTAAAAGACTTATTTTCATTTAATGGGTATGAATGTTTTGCCTGCATGTGTATACGTGCACCACAAGTGTGCAGTGCCTGTGGAGGCCGGAAAAGGGCTTTGGATTCCTTGAAACTGGAATTAGAGGCAGTATGAGCTACCATGTGGTTGCTGGACACTCAACCCAGATCCTCTCCAAGAATAGCCAGAGTTCTTAACTTCTGAGCACCCCTCTAGTCCTCCCTCCTGCTCCCTGTGGAGACGGGGTCTTAGTCCATAGCCTAGGCATGCCTTGATCCTCCTGCACTCAACTCATTAGTACTTCTACCGTAGGTGAAAGAACAAGGCCTTCAAAGGTATCCAATGATCTTAAGACCATGTAGGTTTCCAGCATGCTTTCCCTTACTTCACTGCTCTACCATGAACAGAGTTAGTCATTTACTTTATGGAGCAGAAAATAAAAGCCTTTAGGCTAGATCTATTATGTTCACCTGTAATCCCACCAGCTATTATTGTATCCAGTGGTCACTGCTAGCGGGATCTTTAAAACCACTTTTAATGAATTATCACTACTGTATGTGATGTGTGTGCAGGAGCACATATGCCATGGTGCACAGGTGGAGTGCAGAGGACAACTCTGTGGAGTTAGTACTCTCCTTCCACTTTCACTGGGGTCTGGGGATCAAATTCAGGTCACCAGACTTCCATGGCAAGTGCCTTGACCACTGGAATCTTTAGCTTAGTTTTACTGAGGGTTTGTGTGTCAAGTCTCTCAGTTTAGTTAGGAGGAAGTGGAAGGTGTGTTAAAAATCTGCCAACACAAGGACACTGCTGAAAAGCCAACATCAGCTGCTGCCCTGAGCTATCTTCCACTTGTAACTAAAGAATTGGTAAAAGGTGGAAGTGAGAAATAAGGAGCAGGTGCATCCGAGAGACTTTTACCCCAAGAACACTTCTGGTTTCAGTGCAGCCATCTTATAGTCAGTCCCTTCCCAGCGACAGACACCCCCACCCCCCACGCTCCCTGACACACACGCATACACACACACATGCAAAGAGACCAGAATGCAGAAGAAAAGAGTTTCTTATTCAATGGATAAACAGAATTTCAAGACATTGCCACAGTCTGCATGTTGGATTTCCCTCTGCCACCCAGGCCCAGCAGGAGCTAAGAATCTTTCTGCCAACATCACCCCGTGCAGCCATTCAATACTTACAAAGAGAGAGAGAAGGAAGGCAGGAGAGCCCATGGGGACACTGTCCTGTTAGAGGACAAACAAATACTGATCAGGTTCCACAGAAACTCTCAGCCACAAGCACCCCAAACCTAAGGACAGAGGCAAAAGCACCACACACACAGCACAAAGACAAAAATGTAAAACTCGAGAACAAGAGGAAAGATCCCACAGCCATCCGCCATAGGACTCCAGAACAGGAGCTAAGTCACCAGCTGCTGGGAGCTACTTCACCCCCACCCTGACAGCACTCTCCTAGAGGGTTAATAATTCGCTCACTCGCCCCAACTTTCTCCCATGTCAGTCACAGCAGCTTTCCACAGCTAGACAGGAGCAAGCCCCCACCGTTCTAACATCTATTTGCATACCACTGGCTTGCAGAAGGTTAGCAATAGCAGAGTAACTTAAGTTCTCTGGGTGTTTTAGACTTCATTTCTGTCTCCTTACCTTCTCTGAAGCATCTTGTTTTCGGGTAGAATCTCTCCCCCGAAGACTTTTAGCACTGATTCCAGACTCAGATGTTTGCATAATCAACTGTGTGGCCAAGAATTGCTGTAGGGAGAAGAAAAAAAGCTTGGCCACAAAGATCCGATTAAGTAGGAAAGGACCAACAAACTTCAGGTTTTGTGACTATAACTTATATAGTATCTTCTATTCAATACTTTTTGGCTTACTAAAAGGCTTAATTCTAACTGTTCCTAAATAATTTAGAAGTGAAAAGTAGCTTTTAAATAAAATAAACCAAAGACCTTTCTTTCAGCAATTCAAGTCACTTGGCATACTTAACAAAGATACACTGGTCCTCCAAGGTCAACATCCTAAAGGTGTGTGGTGATACAACTGTAAGACTCAAGTGGACTTCTGATGATAAATAGGGATCATGTACTCTTTTGGTACATGTGCCACAAAATTTTATGTAACTAAAAATGACATTAACCCCTTAAAAACTAACTTGAAAACTTCAGAGGGAGCTAGGGATATAGCTTAGCTGGAACAGTGCTTGTCTGCCACACATGAAGCCCTCCCTGGGCTTAATTCCTAACATGAATAAATTGGGTGTGGTGGGGATATGATGTAGCTCAGTGGTACAGTATCTGTGCAGACCCTGGAAGCACTGGTTTAGATCCCTAGCAACAAGAGCAAAATAGCAGCAGCAACAAAAACCTTCAAAGACTGGATTCATTTGCCCAAGAAAGACAGAATTTCTACCATATTTCTTCCATTAAACCAATAAAACCTATACAACTTCAGTAAGAAAAAAAATTACTTATCTGTGTTCCTGATGCCTA